GGCTCCCAGCGGCCCGCCCCGCCCCGCCCCGCCCGACTACCCTCGGAAGGAACGGCCGGGCGGCCGAAGCGGAGGCGCGACTGGGATGCACCAGAGCCAGCAATACCCAACAGACTCATTCCGAAGGGCGCGCTTTGGTCGCTCTGTCTCTCTTGCACTCGTGTGGCGGCCCGGTCCCGTAGGGGTGCGAGAGAGACGCCAGAATGAGGGAACCGCTGTTCGGAACCAGCCTGCAGGCAAGCCAGGCAAGCAAACGCTGTCCAGCAGCACTCCATTAGAAGGCGAGAGATTTACAGCCCTTCCCCCGAGTTTGCGTCCGACTGTCTCAGACTGTCCGCCCGTCTCTCTCCCTCTCTCCTGCTCCTCGACCGTCTTCGCCGAGGGAGAGAGAAAAAAGGGTTTCACTGTTGACGTATTTATTCGTTTTGAACGTGACGAGCCTTGCAGAGTCCGGCCGTCGTCCGGTCGGGAAGGGGGTGCGGTGGGGCGGGGCGGGGCGGGGCGGGGCGGGTGGTGAAGCTCGACAAGGGCGGCGCCCAGGAGGACCGCGCCTTGAAGGCCTTGAAGGGCTGCAGGAGGGTGCGCGGGTCATCCCACCGATCAAGCGCCTGCACACTCTTTCAAGTCCACTGCAAAACGTCGGCCACCTCGGTGGCGCAGACGGTTGCGGTACCGACTGCGGCTCGGCGGTTCCGGGTTCAAATACCAGCCTCGCATCCTCTATTTTTTCCCCCTCGTGATGCGTTGTAAACTCATGTTGACCAAAGGAAAATACTAGCCAGGCACGCAAAACAGTCGGGCCAGGCCGAGGGCCGGGCGTCCCAGTCGAATGGGGCTACTTCTTTTGACGCGTCTTGCCGCGGGGCGTTGGGCGTTCGCGCGGCCAGAGGAACTCGCAGACTCGCACATGGACTCGGGCGAAAGCTGCGTGTAAACATTTACGCGGTGGCAAGCCGGGCAAGCCGGCGCACTGTAAAAAAGAAGACGAACAATTCTCGGACCCATGGGTCTGGCAGCACACTTTCCAAGCACGGGTCGACAAAATTGAGACCCATTGGGTGGCACTTCTGCTTCCGCGCGCCGGGGAAGATTCAGACCCATGGGTTCTGAAAACGGTGCGGCCGCGCCGGAGGAGCAGCGGGGAGGGGTGGGGGAAGTAGCCTGCCGCGTGTGCCAGGTATACGCCGAGCCGGGGTCGGCGGATGGACGGGCAAGGGTCTGTCAATAATTAGGACCAATAGTTAGGAAAATGCTCACCCGCGGGTCAAAAAAAAAGAACTTGAACGGCACGACAAAATTAACGAAAATATTTTTCGATCCGCGCGATCGATTCACTCCCCTAATTTTCACGGCTTGGCTGTTGCTGCCTTCTTCCTCTCACCTTTCCCGTCGCCTTTCACTTGCCCCTTCTCCGAGTGACTTGCTCCGGTCCCCCTGCATCAGCAGCGACCCGGAATTGAACCCGGGCCCCCCGATCACAGTGCCATCGCCTTACCACTCGACTACTTGAGCGCGCGTCTGGAGGAGGGACAAAAGATGCATAAGTGCAGTGACCGCGCCCGACTACCTGGCCCCGCCCGCCGCCCGCCCCGCCCCTTCCCGCTCCGTCCCTCCTCCCCCCACTCCTACACGACAGGGAAGATTGTGACCCATGGGTCTGTAAAACTCCGCGATGGGCCACAGAGAAGCCGCGCGGAGGGGGTCTGTGATTTATCTACCCACGAGCCACGCGAATTGTACGATCCTAGGGGCCGAGTTTTAGTTCACATGGGTTTGACAAGGGTGCGTCATGGGCCGTAGAAAAAAGCGACATGAAGGGTTTGTCAATTCCGAGTCCACGGCACACAAAATGTTGCATCAAGTGGGTGCGAAAAAGGTCCATCTCGGGTCCGTGGCCATTACGATCTGACCCATGGGTCAAAATTTGTTTGACCCCGGGTTCAAGTAGTGAAAAATCAGACCCTTCGGAACAAAAAACGTACCCCAAGGACCTGAGGATTCGCGATTTTTTTTTACAGTGCGAGGCAAAGCAGCCAGAGCAGCCACAGCACAGTGGCATGCGGGCCGCCACGCCGCCAGCAACACGTCCAGGACTGCAGAGAATGATACGCCCACAGCCCCCGCAGCGCTCAAACGCTAGTTTCTCTGTCTCCCTCGCACTCGGAGCGTTCCGCAGGCGCGAGAGAGACGGAGCCAGCGCTGTCCGGAATCGGCCTGGCACAGCCGCGCTCCCCGCGGGATAACTGTTTATGTTTAAAAACGCCGCCGCCGCACTTCGCCGAGAAAAAATGAAGCGAAATAAAAACGGCGGCCGGCCTGGGAGTCGACAAGCTCGTTGAAAAGTTGCTCACCGAGGGAGGAGGGGAGTTCATGGAGCGTGTGGCGGGCCGCCTCGCGGACGCGGCGCGCGCGTCGTCTCGCTTCGCCTCGCCTCGATACCCGAAGCCAAGTGCCGCGAGTTTATTATTAACGGCTGAATTTCATTAGTGTCGCCAAATATTCTATGAGACCGCCCTCTGGGCCCTCGGCGCCGCACCTCCGGGGCAGTAAAACGGCAGTTTCGCATCGGCGGCGCGCGCCGGGGCGGCGGGGCCGCGGCATAAGGAGAATCATCTTCGTATAATGTTTGGCCAATTCGTCGCCGAAAAAGTTTTAATAATGCAACGGATGGCGGTTAGGCCGGCTGCAGGCCGCGGGCCGCGCGGTGGGGCGGGGCGTCGCGAGCTGTCGTCGCCGGGCTATGGAGATTTAGTGGGGCGCTGGGAGCTTGACGGCAAGTGGACCGCTAATTGGGTGCGTGAGCGCGATAGGCGCAGGTGGGGGTGAGAAGGTGTCACGCGTGCCAACTGTCACGGTTCAAGTCACATAGTTAGCCAGCAGGCCGGCCCACTCCGCCAGGACTCCGCCAGGTCTCGGACCTCAATGAGCCGGGAGGCGACAATGCGACGCCCTGTGCCCTGCCGCCTCGGCGAAGCCCCGCAGACGGCAGGACGGGCCAAAGGGCCAGAGGGCCAAAGGGCCAAAGGGCCAAAGGGCCAGAGGGCCAAAGGGCCAAAGGGCCAAAGGGCCAGAGGGCCAGAGGGCCAGAGGGCCAAAGGGCCAAAGGGCCAGAGGGCCAGAGGGCCAGCGAGCGGAGGCCCTGCAGGAGGAAAACGACGACGACGACATCTGCGGCTCGCCGAGGACGGAGCATCAGGTGTGGGAGTTGCCGAGCCGCCGCTTGCGGGCTGATGCCGAGAGGCCGTTCCCGCCCACCTGTCTCTCTCGCACCCCAAAGGGGCGCCCTGTGAGTCCGAGAGAGAGACCACTTTCTCGGAACCAGTCTGCAGGCCTGGCCTGACAGCCGCCGGCGTGGCCCTGTCGGCGTCCTGATGCTGCCGTGCTGAATATTGGACACGACTGCTGCCACTGCCGCAGCGTGCCGCGCCGTGCCGCGTCGCACACGGCGACATTATTGATGGCCTGGGACTCGCACTCGGCGTGCTGCAGCAGGCGGCAGGCGCTACTCGACTAGCAAATATACCGGCACCCCGACGACGACGCGCGCTAAATTCGGGCCGGGGTGGCTTCTCGGCTGTCGCGAGCATCCGCACCTGCAGCTGCACCGGGCCGCCCCGGCCGAGCTGGCGGCGGCAGGGCAGGGCTGGCTGTTGTCGACGCGGTAAATCAAGGGCCGCCAGACGCCGCCATGCACGCCACGCCAATGGCAGCGACTTACACTGGCCAAATCTGCAACACGACGGTCTGCACGGCCTGCAGGGCCTCGATGACGCCACTGACAGGCGCGACGGCTCGCGCCAGCGGCGCCTGTGTACCAACCGCCCCCGCCACGCCCCGCCCCGCCCCGCCACGCCCCGTCGCGCGGGCTGACAGCGCACACGGCAGTGCGCGGCGATGCGGCGATTCAAAGGCACGGCGCCGGGGACGACAAGGTGCCCGGCGAGTTGGACTAACTCCGAGCGACAGTTGAGACGCGGATGGGCGAGATTCCTCGCCTCCCGGCGGACAGTGTTGTCGGCGGCCTCGCGGACGTGGTTCGGGACGGGGGTGCGGAGAGCACAGCCAAGCACATGCCGCGCCGCGTGTCATTGCATCCCCACGCCCCGGCCGTTCCATTCCCGCATCGGCAAACAATCTCATCACACACGCACGCACACAGTCTCGTTAGCTCGCCACATCAGAGGCACTCGCCGGCCAGCAGTGCCGCGGCGTGCTGACAACTGCACCGCGGCGCCGCCCCGCCACCCAGGCACCACCGCGCCGATGCGGTTTGGTTAGGTCTGGCGGTGCATACAACAAGCCGCGCGCTACGCGTCCAATCCAGAGGAGAGGCAATCTTTTAGAGTGCCGAAAAAAGCGCGCGTCCCCTCGGCGGCGGGCCGGGCCGGGCCGCGGTCGGGCCGCCTCGGCCGCGTCCTGCAGCAGGACGAGGACGCCGGCATCGTAAAACCGTCAGGACGGCGTCCGCAGATGCGATATTGACGTGGCGGAGGTGGAGGAGGTCCTCGTGATGGACGAGCCGCGCGCGCGGCTTGCAACAACGGAGAGGACGTTGTCGGCGTTGGGGCGGGCAGCACAACCTGCAATTAACTGTGCAAGTCTCGGAACGCCATGCCGCCATTTACCGCCAAGACGTACGGCGACTAAAGCTCTTAGCCGCGACGAGCAGCCTAGCGTAGCCTAGCGCCCGGGCAGTTATCCAAATTGAACACAAGTTAGTGGGCTCGTCCGGGAGCGGCGGCGCTGCAGGCTGCCGCCCAGAGCCGCCCCTCACTCACACAGACGCACAGACTCAGCGGAATGTTGCTTTAGGGCGGCGGGGCTCACACTCACACGGTGTTTGCGAATACCGGCGAAAGGCGATACGCTTGGTAATGGACGTCGACGGCAAGCCCCGCGTGACGTCACGGCCGTTCGGGCCGTTTGGACTCGGACGCCTCCACGAGCAGGGAGCACGGGGGACTGGACGTTCTTTCGGACACGACGGCGGCCTCACTCACCTTCAGTTCGTCGAGCGACGCCGTGTCGCGGCCGTCCAGCACTGCACTTGTTGCTTTTCGCGTTCCGCGCGTGGCGCCTCCACGCCGAGCCTCGTCGTCGTCGTCGGCGTCCTGGTGGCCGCCTCTACCGTCACGGCGGCGTTCGTCGGGAAGGCGGTGGAGCAAGGACAGCAGGCTAGCAGGGAGTCGCAGCCACGTCGTCGTCGCACGGCCGAGTCGATATCGTGGTCGCAGTGGCAGGACGCTGTGGTGGACGGCGCGGGGCGTACGTCCGAGCGGGGTAGCGGCTGGGGCCTGACTGAGGCGGGGCGGCGGGGTGGGGACGCCGCGCCGCCAGCGCGCCAGCACGCCCCCTCCCTTGCGGCAAGGCGGGGCGTGGTGGGGAGGGCGGCGCAGAAGTAAGGGAGGCTCTGACGACCAGGTGACACCACCAAACGAAGAACCGGGCGGCCGGGTTAGACAAAACACGAGTCGGCTCACTGGGAATCTCATCCGGTTTCGATTCAGGACGTCGGCAAGCGGAGAGCGAAGCGAGTCGAGCCCTCGCCGGACTTTTTGGCAGAGGTTAGTGCGACAGGGAGCCGCCCGGCCACCGGCCGTCAGCTCCACGTGGCCGCCGCCGTGGGAAAACAAACAACGACGCAGCGGCAGCAGCGGCAGCAGCAGTGGTCGGAAGTTGAGGCCCCGGGCTAAACAAAACACGGCGCTGGCGGCTTGTGCTTCCGCTGTGAAGCGGACAGATAACACTGTTTTTAATTTGAAATTTTACTGATGAACACTTTTTGACGCAAAAGTGGTCGGAACTTGTTTGCAGTCAATGCTGCTGAAAAATAAGGCAACAGCAGTCTGAAACTTTGGAAAAATATTGTTGGTTCAGTCGAGTCTGCGGCCGGCGAAACTGTCAGTCCGTACCGAGTTCCAAGGACGACCCGAGTCTTCACAGCAAAACCAGTGTGGCGTTTGCAACGCCTGGTCCGGGACCCGGCTCTGAGTAAAAGGAGAGAAAGGATACCGTCGTTGAGTGTTCGCGCGCAGGGCGAGCAGGGCTACGGCCCCTCCAGCCACTGCTCGCAGTCCCAGCGCGCCCCGCGCTTCCAGATGCTAATTGTGCGAAATCAAATCAACCCCACGCCCCGCCTCGCCCCGCCCCGCCCGGGCCAGGGCCGCGCCACTGCGCAGTCCAATCCACCTGCGCTGCCTGCAGCCTGCGCAGCCTGCGCCATCGCCGGCACTGCTGAGGTTACATCGCAGCGGGTAAACAGCCCGCCGTCATACACTGCTCCAGAAACAAGCCCCACCCCATCCCCGAACGTGCGATGCCATCTGAGGGGGGTAGGGGGGGCCTCGGCGGGCGCACGGCGGGGGCACGCGGCAGATGGGTGATAGGGGCAGCGGGGCACGGCCACGGCACGGCGCACCGCGCCCCAGCCGCCTCCAAGCCCTACTGGTTTGTGTACCTGGCCCGGAGTTATGCTGGCGTTATCCCATTAGCCGACCCACTCCCCGCGACTCCATGACTCCGGCCATGACTCCAGGCACCCGTCCGTCTATTCTATGCTGTCTGCCTTGCTGGCCGGCTGCTCGGTCCGACCCGCCTTCCTTATCTATCCGCCTCTATCTCCCTCTGCTTCTTTTGACTCGGAGCGACGCACCCCTCTTCCGCGGCTTTTAATAGTCCATGAATTACACCCACACTCCTTTCTCACGCTGCATTTTCCTCCTGTCCGTCCCGGCAGGCGGTCCTAGGCAGCGGGGGTTGACCAGGGTTGACGCCGCGACACGGCGACCAGGGACCGAAAACAACAACAACAACAACAGTGTCCCGTCGTGCCTCCTCCAGCGCCGCGGCTGGCTTGTGGCCGGCGGCGCGCGGTGGCGGCGCCGCTCCGTCGTGTTGTCCGAGACAGCAATATTAAGAGCGTCGCCGTATTGCGGCCAATCCACGCGGCAGCGCGGCAGCGGGGCGTCTAACAAAGATTCCGCGCCGAAATGATCCCCTCTTCGAGGTAGAAGGCGAAAGGCTGCTGCAGGAGGGAGAGAGAGATGATGGCACAAGAAGAAAGAGCAAGAGCAAGAAGAAGTGACAAAGCCCGGGACATGCCCATGGCGAGGCCGCCGCTCGCTGCCAGCATCAGAAATTCATGAGCTGGAAAATGTGGAGCGGAGATCCGTGATTTGCGCCGCGGCCGCAGCTCGGGGGGGGGGGGGGGGGGGCGGGCAAGGGCAGGGTGCACTATGTCCCCGCAGGTGGAGGGAAGCCAGCCCCCCGACGGCGACACTCGTAGGAATCCCGACTCCACAATGACTGCAAACCATCCGGCAGGGCAGGTTCATTGCCGACTCCATTGTTCACTCACATGTCAATCTGTGTAGTTACCGGTGTGGCAGTGCTGGCAGGGCGTTAGGCCCTTTGGCCCGACCCTCGGCTCTCCCTTGGCGCGGCCGGTCGCCCCGCCTCGATGTCCACGACGGGGTGCAAAGTCAAGTGCTAATGCACGGCCCGTGTCCGCGGAGCGCGGCGCCACGCCACGGGCCACGGCTCGGCAGGGTATTATACCGTAATTTATTTCATGGAGGGGTCGCCTCGCCGCCCCGCCAGTGGACCGTGCGGCCGGCCGCAAGCTCTGCGTCAGACTCGCCACATTAATTTTGTCCGGAGTTTTAAATTTTCAAATTACGCGCATGACCGGCCGCGCGCACGTCGGCACAGCACGGCGTCACTGCCACAGCAGGCGGAAAACTTGAAATACTATTTCTCCGGCGGTTTTCGCGCGGTCTACTGCACCAAAGACCCCCACAAGCCACAATCGCACACGTCGCCCCACCCGAACGGGCCGGGCGGGGTGGCTGGCTGCCTGGCTGTTGTCTAGTGTGGGCGCGCCCCTGGGAGTTAGTCCACCCGGCCGACAGCCCGGTGGAGTCCCTGCGGTGGGGGGAGGGGGCGAGCCCCTGGGCCCCGGCCTGCCCCGGCCCGGGCCGACCTGCTCAGCATGCAGGGGGGGACATCGACTTTAATTCGCGCAAGATTTGGCCCGAAGCGCCGGAGCTCGTATTTCAGCCTTACGTGTCCGGGATCCCCGACAGGAACCCCCGCCAGGATCCCCCTCCCCTCCGCCCCCCCCCTTCCCCCGGCCACTCCGCGGGGGACTTTAGCGGCGGGGGATAAGGCCAGTACAAAGAGGCGCTGTTCGGCCGCCCTGCCCTCGGCCTGCCCTCGGAGAAACGCTGCAGAGACGCTTTAAAAGTGCAGGCACGCGAAGGGATCATCGCGCGACTTGCCCCTCCGGTGCGTCGACTAACATGGCAGCGAAATGCGGCCGTTCTCGTCTGGGAATTTCAAGGCATTCACAGAGTCTCTTCGCCTCGCCGTGCTTTGGCGCGTGCGCCGTGCGTGACTCTCGACTAATAAGCACGGCGTCTGCAGCGTCTCGCGTGCGTGGCCTGGAGGGGTGCGACGCGTGCAAAGCACTGTCTGGAGCCGTTCCGTCTCTCTCGCACTCGCGGCGGCTCGAGGGGGAGCGAGAGAGGAGGAACGACGGGCCGGAACCGCGGGAGGCGAGCCGTGCTGCTGAGGCGTGCCGAAGGCGGGCTAGGTGGCCGCCAGGGCCGCCATGGCCGCGGGGCGACCGTGTCCGAGTGTGTCTCTTCACCTTCAGCGCGAGGGCCTAACGACCCTGGACCGGCCCCGACGGCCTGGGCGGGTGGGCTGAAACCCTGGAACCCCAAACGCGCACTCACACTCACAAAAAAAGATCAGTAACGTTCGGCAACGTTGTCAAATGTTGTACAACTTCACATTTTATTCCTTTGTGACTGAAACAGAAACGCGATTTCTCGTCAATTTTCCCTCAGACGACTCCGTCTCGCGAGGGCCCGCAGAGAGAAATGTCTCCACCCTGTATCGTCCTAAAGAAGGGAAGAATGGCTCAGCGGGGTAGTGCGCGGCGATTGACGCAAACAAATAAACACTATCCCGGCGCCCTGCTCGCCCTGCTCACAGACGGCACAATATAGAACACGGCGGATCCATCCCGGCGTTATTTACACGCGACCCCGCCCCACCCCGCCACGCCCCGCCCTGCCATTGTGTCGGAGGGAGCAGCAAGCCGCGGCGCCGCCTTGGCCGCCACCGCCTTGGCCTCGGACGCCGCGTGGGTCGCCTTCTCCAGACAACGATATCCGCGAGGCTTCCGCGAGCCTGCAGCCTGAGTCCCAACAGTGCGCCCCGACTGCGTCGCTCTGTCTCTCGCGCACCCCCACGAGTGCGAGCGGGACAGCGACGACGACGGCGACAGCACTGTCCGGACTCAGGCTGCTGGCGGCGCCTCCGCTGCTCCGCTGCCTCATTTCAATTCTTAATCCTCGCGGCGGCGGCGCGGCGGCGCCGTCGTGGCGCTGGAGGCGCGCGGCACACGGCAGGTGTGTCCGCCTGGGCCGCCTGGGCCGCCGCGCTGCAGCCTGGCAAGCCTGGCGGAACGGGGCTGCGGTGGCGCGAACGCTGGCGCGCGAATTGAGAAGCTAAGAGGGAAGAATCGCTCCAGGTTCCCTTTCGAATAATGCATGGCGCCCCGGCCCCGGTTCGCGGTTCCAGGTTCCCTGCGGTTCCCTCCGTTCCCGGCCGGCTGGCTTCGCGTGTCTTCCATCTCTTATGGAATCAGGTGCGGCGGGGGGCGGGGCAGGGGGGCACGCTACGGCGCGCGCTTCACCAAAAACTCGCGTCGTCTCGACGCCGAAAAGAATTGGGTGTCTCAGAGAGAGGACATTATTCTGCGAGAGAAGCGAGGCGGCGGGGCAGACGGCACTGGCAGACGACACGCACGCACGCACGCACACTCACATGTCCTAACGACGACGGCAGACCCGTGCCGGCCCGCGCGCCCGTCCCGCCAAAGGAAGAGGGAAGGGCTTGCAAATGGCAGTCGTTCCCGGCGAGCAAACGACTTTAACGGACCAGTTTTTCCGCGATCAGACCCCCTCCGCCATCCCCCGCCCCACTCGCCACCCCCACTCCCAATCGCCGATCGGCCCCCGAGGGAGGCGGGCGGTGCGGGGGCGGCGCGGGGGCGGCGCGTCGTCGCGAACAGGCGGTAAACTGTCATTCAACAAGTTAGGCCGTGCACGGCGACGGGGCCGCCGAGCTGGCCGAAGTCCTCCCTGCAGGGGACGGCACGGCCATGGGCACGGCGACGACGGCGTGCACCGGGGGAAACGCTGCGAACCGCAGCCTGATTCCGAGACATCGATTCGTCGCTCCGTCTCTGTCGCACGTGAGGGAGAAAGAGGAAC